GATGCTGAATTCTTTCTGCTTTAGGGCCAGTGTGATAACGTCCATTGGCACCTGGTAATGCCAACCCTAAGGATGCCACTGATCTGGTGCAGAACCTGCTGAGTGCAACAAGAGCCATAGGGCAAGCCCCATATCTTTTGGGGCAGACCCTCTTCGTGGCCAGAGGGGTGAAAGGTGGTCTCCTTTTCTTGCACCCCGTAAAGCAACACACACACACACAGAAGGAAAGCTAGGCAGCTGCCACACTGCAGAATTAAAGCAGTTTGACACCGCTTAAACTGCCATGGCTCCATCCTGTGTGATCCTGGGATTTGTACTTTGTCATGGCACCAGTGCTCTCCGACAAAGAAGGCTAAATAGCTCACAAAAGTACAAATCCCAGAATTGCATGGCATTGAGTCATGGCAATTCAAGCGGTGTCAAACTGGATTAATTCAGCAGCTGTAGATTTTTCTAGACATGGCAGTGGGACCTTGTTATCCGCTGGGGTTTGGTTTCAGGACACACACACCACACACACACCCGTGGATACCAAAATCCGTGGATGCTGAAGTCCCATTAAATACAATGGCATAGCAAAATGGTGTCCCGTATATAAAATGGCAAAATCAAGGTTTGCTATTTGGAATGTATACTATTTTTGGAATATTTTCAAGCTGTGGATGCTTGAATCCATGGATAAAAAATCCATGGACAAGACAGGCCGACTGTAAACAACAAAGGGGGGAAATTAAGGTTTTGGAATATCTTGATTGTCCTCATAAAATCATCCCAGATAGGGCAAGCTTTCTATTTTACTAGACTTCATCATGCTTGGCATCCCTTCCAGCATTTCACAGAGGAAAACCAGGATATATGTAGCCAAGCAGAGTGCGGTGAAGACGGCAAAAGTTATTAACTTTTATTCATTATAATTCTAGTTACCCTCTCCTCCCACCCCCCATTGAGTCAACTGGGTGCAAGTTACATTTGCCCTTTGAACTTCGTTTGCAGGCACCGAAGAAAGCTGAGCCCCGATGGGGAAAGCGGGAGGAGGAGAGAGAAACTGGGACATTGTAAAAGAAGCTTTAATCACCATGGTTCAAAGCTATGGAATTTTTAGTTTTGTGAGATATTTAGCCTTCTCTATCAGTGTCACAGCAAACTACAAATCCCAAGATTCCACAGGATGGAGCCAAAACAGTTCAAGCGATATCAAATGGCATTAATTCTGCCGCAAGAATAATTTTGTCATTTCTCTGCTCACTAAGAAAAAGTCATTGAAAATTTCACAGTTTGGCACTTAATTCTGTTCAAAACCCCCCCCCCGCAAGTTTTTGCACAGAAAGCAAGTTTTGTGCACAGATAATAGCATTTTCAGTGCACAAAACTGATTTTCTGCACAGAAAGTATGGTTTTCTGTGCAGAAAAGGCTGCTTTGTGCATTAAAAAATGTACAGAAATTTTATGCTTTGCTCTGAAAATACTGTTTTCTGCTAAAAAAAACCCTGCCTTGATGCAACAAAATTTAACACTTCACATGGAATTATGTATAATGTAGCAAAATGTAACACTTCTTATGGATCCTAATTAAATCTACTGTAAGTAAAAATAAAATGAAACAACACCCACTTGAACAAAGTCTACCCTGCAAAGATTCTCACCTGTCTTAGATTCTTCGCATCAATATTTCCCAACATTCAACCCCTTTTTTCAATCATTTCCCAAATACTTTTCAATAGTCTTTCCATCCCTGTTGAACTGCAGCTCCCAGCAGCCCAAGCCAGCATAGCTCCTAGTGAGGAATGCTGGGAACCGAAGTCCAAGAAGATCTGGAGGACCACATTGCACCCACCTCCGTATCCGTCTGCACGGTTCTCAATTTGTAGGCACCCAAAAAGATTAATTGAGAGATCAGATTACTATTTCTATTTCTTCATTGTCTAGGTTGAATTTGAGAAAGTCTTCCTCGGTGGTCATTATTTTCGTTGCCTTTGCACTTTCTTCCTTAGGGTGCATCCACACTGCAGGGATAATCCGGTTTCATACCGCTTGAAGGGCCATGGCTC